GGGAACAAAAAGCCGAAGGCCATTAGTTGTGGAGTGACAACAGTAGGGCTACTGGACAGCAATGGAGAAAAACATAACATACGTCTGTACGCAACACCAGTCCTAACGGCAAAGGGAAAAATGACACAGCTAAGTCAAGAAGACAAAAACTTTATGATGCACAACAACATTTGCCTTTCCACTATCGTGACGGGAGGCCCAACCAAACCGCAAATCCTCCTTGGATGCGATCAACTATGGAACCTGCTAGAATCCCCCTCTCCACATTACATTCTCCCATCTGGGTTACGAGTTATACCTTCAAAATTAGGGTATCTTCTAACGGGAACACAACAAGTAACGCAGTGCCAAGAATTTCAAGAATACGACGTTCAATCCAGTATGGTGACCATGATTCAAGCAATGACTGATGACGAAACAGATAGACAGAGGTGGGACAAATACTGGACAATGGATTCGGCAGGAATATACGAATTCTCAGGAACAAAAAACGCAGAAAAATCAGCAATCAATGAAAAAGTATTAAAGTTTTTCAACAACACTATCGAAAAGAAGGAGGACGGGTATTACGTACGTTTGCCGTTCAAAGAAAACCACCCGCCACTTCCCACTAATAAAGCTATTGCACAAAAACGCCTTCAGAGTGTCACCACAAACCTAAAAGCCCACCCACAACTTTTAACGGACTATGATAACACCATAAAAACTCAACTGCGAAATGGTATCATAGAAGAGCTCCCGCAACATAACCAGAAAGAAACAGGGATCATCCATTACATTCCTCATCAACCTGTTATCACCCCTCATAAGGAAACCACTAAGCTACGCATTGTTTTTGATGCATCATCGCATTTTAAGGGTCACCCTTCTCTTAATGACGTGCTGCACCAAGGACCACTGATCCTACCAGACATCTACGCTGTACTATTACGCTTCAGAGCATCGAATATCGTAGTAACATCAGATGTAGAGAAAGCCTTTTTGCAAGTCCGTCTACACGAATGCGACAGAGACGCAACAAGATTTTTTTGGCTACGCGATTGCAATAAAGAGCCCTCCGCGGAAAATGTTATCACCTATCGCTTTACTAGAGGTTACTTTTGGACTAAACGCCTCTCCATTCCTCCTCAGCGCTACAATTCAACATCATTTACAAAAGATCAGTGACACTAACTTGGGAAATGAAATCCAAGAGAATTTATATGTTGACAACCTCATACTGAGCGCAGATACGAAAAATGAAGCCATACGCAAATCTACCATAACCAGAAAAATTTTTGCGGACATGGGAATGAACTTACGTGAATTCCTTTCCAATGATGAAAGCATTATTACAGCCTTGCCA